TGGAGGCTCTCTCATCAATATCATGGTGAAGTTTGCCCTCTTTGGTGAGAGCTGAGAGCTACATGTATGCTGACTGGAGTTCCTATCTGCCCTGCGTGGGGTTAAGAGAGGGCCCAAATTCCCCAACAGTGGGAGCACCTTTGGTGGGAATGGTACATGTACATGTACTTCACTGGTTTACAAATGATTATGCATGTACTGTATAACGGTTGACTCTCTACAAACAAGACTGTGCTTGATTGGACTCTCCTCACCAACATCGGTTTTTCCAGCTGATGCGGGGGTGCTTCTGCTCAAGGTGGATAATCCTAGCAGGCCCTCCCAAGCGAGATATGTTGAGGGGTAGAGATTAGTACAAAGGTACATCATGATGTAGCGTAGTCCACAACTGGTCAGCTTGGCACTGGGCTGGCAGCATAGAACCTTCTGCTTTGGACAACTGGTCTAGAAATGAAGACAAACACACTACAGTCTACAGGCCAGATCCAAAATGGGAGAGTTCCCTATACGCACAACACTAATTTTCCCTTAATATGCTACAACAATCATTTGAAAGTGATGACATGTCGCAAAAAGTGAACGTTAGCCGAGAAACCTTCGAAGTACCCCACATACCCTACAGGTCAGAATTTTAGCCGACATGTAAACCACGCTTAGCGTGTCAGTGTATATCCAGTCAAACAGACACGAAGGAGATAATCGCAAACACGAAACACGCTCACCCCTGCATAACAGAGAACGCCGACACCGCAATCCGATCTGCTGAGCATAAACATGCACACGCTACACGCAAACCACAGAACAGCCAGACCTTTGTTGACCAGAGCAATCATTTTCCTTTCGTAGTTTCCCAAAACAAAAAGTATTCAGTCTGACTGCAGCTCAAGTTATCTTCAAGTCCTGGGAAATGTGGTCAGTAGTTTACCTTGTATGTAGCAGGCATCACAATATCATTTTCAAAGATAAAGCATTTTGTTTGGCCATACAGGATCAATGAGAGTGCCATGCAGACAACATTTCTCATTTGTTGGTAGTGTATTTACGACGTAAAGGCTGAATTCAGGCAGCTTGTTCCCGTATGTTCACCAACAGCTCGATTTGTTGTTTGTGGGTCAGCCGCTTGAACAAACAACCAGTTATCGCTGGTAGTTGGTGACAAGCAACATGCAACATGGCGGCGTCCATGTAGGCTACGTTATTCGTGAGTTAATGTTTGGATGGGCTGAATTCTCTTCTATATAAACAGGAACATTCATTTCTGTGTTACGGAAAATAATTAACCCTAACAGTCCTGAATCCTCCAATTTTAATATGATTTTGCACACTCCCTAGGGAGTTTGGGTTAATGTTAATTTTGCAAAACCTCCCATTGTCTATGGCTTTGGAAGCCATCTCTCTACTTTTTGCAGCTGTTCAAAAATCAAAATCTCACGAGTTTTTCCGTGTGTTCCTGTAAAACCCGACAAGGAGGTGGTGCGTGATCCTGTTCCGAAAACAGTGTTCTTTGGTCATGTTCCCGCCGTTTGAGCGCGAGAACAAGAAACCCATGTCAAGAACAGGCCACCCGAATTCGACCTATATTTATGCAAGTTCAGAGGTCGTTTTTTTAAATTTACTGGAATTCAATACATATTGACCTAATTTTCACTAAATTAAGAAATACTCCATTGTGAAATCAGCTTGTTGTAATGGTTCTGGCTGAGGAATGGATTTCTTTCGTGGTTACTGTTTACTTGTGAAAAATTTTCTCGCGCAATCAGGAATTGCTTACAACCAATCTAGCATTTAGAACCAGCAGGAAAAGTATTGCCGTCACTCCAGTCGATCCTGTGGGTTTAATTTCAAAGCTTACATTTGGGAAAAATTTCTGTAGAATCTAAACACACACGGTGGACTATTGGCCAGTTTCAATGAAATTTGACATTTTCCAGATGTAATCCGACTGAACAACTTTTGCGATCCAAAACTAACAGAAAATGGCTGTATCATACATATTTTGATACTTTATGATTGCCAGCCAGGCACTACATGTACATGTACGTAATATCACTTATTCAGTGTGCTGCCATGCAGTGTACTGGACATGTACAAACACAGACGAAGCTGGAGCGACGGTTCTGCGTGTGCAGTGGTTCACTACACCTTGTCAGTCACCTTTGAGGTCTGCGGTCACAAGCCCTTCCAAGATAATGAGGTCCGGGGTCAGGTTTATTGTGCATCGGACAAGCAATGTACATGTATCGTAAAAACCAAAGCGTATTTTAAACAACGTGTCAGGTTCATTGATCATGTCAGCATTTCGGCTTAAATTCTGACCTGTACTGTAGAAAACATTCAGGTTTTCTTCAGATACGGTGTACATGTAGGCCATGTGCACAGGGATATCAAGTGTTGTCAGTTTATGGAACTCTTTCCTCAAAATGTTCAAATGTTGTACAGCTACACGTACATGTACCTTCTGAACTGTGAGGTTGGTTTGGGTCATCCGTCAAGCTCTGCAGTTCGTGGGAACACAGTGGATGACAAACTTCAGACTTGCTTTACCAGTTCTTGGGATACAAAACCTGGACCGTAATGCAGCGATTGGAAAGACAGCTAAACTACCAGTGCAATACCAATAGTAATTGTGCCTTTCTTGCCTGATCAAGCAGTGATTGCTGGGCTGTATACATGTACGGTAAGCGTTCCATACACATGTGCATCATACATGTATATGGACGCCAGTAATTATTTTCTAGAGTGACCTATAGCCGTCAGAAACAAAAACATGTCAAGAAAAGTCTTTTTTTAGGGGGGGAACCAACTCGTTCATATAGAAAACACACGTGACGTACATGTAGCTTACACATGGCTTAGATTCAGACATGTCAGACCATTCCAATCCAATAGGCTATAATGTAGTGAACTACATGACTCAATGACTTTACGCGTACATTCTCAAAAATTACATAATCTAAAAATGCACTCTTCCCTTTTATTCTAATTCAAATAAACATTACAATCCCTTTNCCCCTGCATAACAGAGAACGCCAACACCGCAATCTGATCTGCTGAGAATAAACATGCACACGCTACATGCACACCCCACAACAGCCAAGCCTTTGTTTACTGGAGCCATGGAGGTAGAGCAGTCATTTTCCTTCCGTAGTTTCCCAAAACGAAAAGTATTCAGTGTGACTGCAGCTCACGTTATCTTCAAGTCTAGGAAAATGTGGTCAGTAGTTTACCTTGTATCATGGAGGTAGATTCTACCTCCATGCTTGTATGTACATGTAGCAGGCATCACAATATCATTTTCAAAGATAAAGCGTTTTGCTTGGCCATACAGGATCAGTGAGAGTGCCCTGCAGACAACACTTCTCATTTGTTGGTACTGTATTTACAACATTCGGGCGGCTTGTTCCTGTATGTTCACGAACAGCTCAATTTGTTGTTCATGGGTCAGCCGCTTGAACAAACAACCGGTAATCACTGGTAGTTAGTGACAAGCAACATGCAACATGGCGGCGTCCATGCAGGCTACGATATTCGAGAGTTAATGTTTGGATGGGCTGAATTCTTTTCTATATAAACAGGAACATTCATTTTGCAAAACTTCCCATTGTCTAGGCTTTGAAAGCCATCTCTCTACTTTTCCCAGCTGTTCAAAAATCAAAATCTCACGGGTTTTTCCGTGTGTTCCTGTAAAACCCTGACGAGGAGGTGGCGTGTGATCCTGTTACGAAAGCAGTGTTCTTTGGTCATGTTCCCGCCGTTTGAGCGCGAGAACACGAAAACCATGTCAAGAACAGGCCGCCCGAACTCGACCAATATTTGTGCAAGTTCAGAGGATTTTTTTTTAATTTACTGGAATTCAATACATATTGACCTAATTTTCACTAAATCAAGAAATACCCCATTGTGAAATCAGCTTGTTACAATGGTTCTGGCTGAGGAATGGATTTCTTTCGTGGTTACTGTTTATTTGTGAAAAAGTTTCTTGCGTAATCAGAAATTGCTCACAACCAATCTAGCATTTAGAACCAGCAGGAAAAGTATTGCCGTCACTCCAGTCGATCCTGTGGGTTTAATTTTAAAGCTTACATTTGGGAAAAATTTCTGTAGTATCTGAACACACACAGTGCACTATTGGCACTATTACGCTGCAATACAGTGTACTGAACATGTACAAACATTGACGGAGCTGGAGCGACGGTTCTGCGTGTGCAGTGGTTCACTACACCTTGTTGGTCACCTTTGCTGTTTGCGGTCACAAGCCCTGCCGAGAGAATGAGGTCCGGGGTCACGTTTATCGTGCATTGGACAAGCAATGTACATGCATGGTAAAAACCGCAAAGCGTGTATTGAACAGCGTGTCAGGTTCATTGATCATGTTAGCATTTCAGCTTAAATTCTGACCTGTACTGTAGAAAACACTCAGGTTTTCTTCAGATACGGTGTACATGTAGGTCATGTGCACAGGGCTTTCAAGTGTTGTCCGTTTACGGAACTCTTTCCTCAAAATGTCCAAATGCTGTACAGGTACATGTACCTTCTGAACTGCGAGGTTGGTTTTGGCCATCCGCCAAGCTCTGCAGTCCGTGGGAACACAGTGGATGACGAACTTCAGACTTGCTTCATCAGTTCTTGGGATACAAAACCTGCACCGTAATGCAGTGATTGGAAAGACAGCTAAACTACCAGTGCAATAGTACATCATGTGCCTTTCTTGCCTGATCAAGCAGTGATTGCTGGGCTCAATACGGGAAGCGTTCCATATACTGTACATGTGCATCATATATGGACGCCAGTAATTATTTTCTAGAGTGACCTATAGCCGTCAGAAACAAAAACATGTCAAGAAAAGTCTTTTTTTTTGGGGGGGGGGGAAAAACCAACTCGTTCATATAGAAAACACACGTGACGTACATGTAGCTTACACATGGCTTAGATTCAGACATGTCAGACCATTCCAATCCAATACTAGGCTATAATGTAGTGAACTACATGACCCAATGACTTTACGCGTACATTCTCAAAAATTACATAATCTAAAAATGCACTCTTCCCTTTTATTCTAATTCAAATAAACATTATAATCCCTTTTGCTGAATACTGTACCAAAAGCTTAATTTCGTGGCCTGACAACACGCTTGGCATGCTCCCTGCTCAGCTGGTTTACACATGCGCTGTGCTCGACAGTCTGTAATTAAAGCGCCCCCATCGTTAAGCTACAACATAAATAGCGTCCTCAAGGAAAGGTCCTTCAACTCTAAAAAAGAGGGGGACGGAAACCCCCCCCCCCGACATTTTTGCCGATAACGCCGCAGTACGTTTTTCCCAGGAGTTGAGTCTTTTGGGGTTTTTAATAACTCTTTGCAGTCATTTCACTCTGTTTTTGCAAAAAATCGAATACTGTTCTCTCACAGCGCGCCATTTTCCCGAGTTGGATGATGAATTTCAAAATGATCGTGTTTGTATCATAGTCAAAAGCAAATTCGTCAGCTAGATGTGCGCGTCCATTTGACGAATTGAAACACCCCATTGGTCTTTCAGAGGAATGTAACGCGCGTGTACCTGTCTACAAGCGTTGCTCCGCCGCAGTGACGACTTTCCATTCTGGTTGTTGACGTACATTATACGGCAATAAGAATGTTAAGTTCATTAACTTATGTGGAACAGTGCTCCCTTTCGTGAAGGACGTGCTGGGCTTACAAGACGCGCGTATCCTGCGTATGTCCTCATACCCACAATCATTGGACATATTACAATGAAAATACCCATTTGTTTTCCCATGGAAACATCAAATGCACAAATTGCTTTGACAACAATGAAGACAAGTTACCATGGAGACTGCGGATGACGGTCGCCCGGTGGTATGATTTGCTGGGGCTCTGGTAGTGTCGCGCCCACAGGTGTGATAGGTTTGTCGGCGTGGACAGCACGGAGCATTCGCTGCAGCGACCCAACAACGACAGTGCGATCCACGATGCCCGAATGGCTGCAATTGGTGGTCATCTTAGCGCTAGCTTATCAAATCAAAGGTAAGATCTGACGTCTCTGATATCCCTTCATTCTGCAAAGTACGCTGGACAAAACCGATTTAATTAAACCATTTGTTTCACATGTGTAAATTGATATGATGAAGGACCCATTATTGATTCAAAATAAAGTGTCTCTATATGTTGTTTCTTATCTTAATCATTTATTGCTGTGTACAGAATATATTTATCTGACAACCTCGGTAGCCTGGGCGGTACCAAATTCCTTCATGCATAGCACCAGCACTGGACTTTAACCACAAAAGAGCAGGGGAAGAAAACCCTTTCCCCCTCAACACTTTCTGCTTTCTGCTTAGTCTTTTGGACTTTCGCAGTGACTCTTGACGGTCACCACTCTTGTGAAATTCGAGCCATCCATATACGCCTAGCATGCATACAAGCCAGCTAGCACGAAAGTGGCCGTTAACCTCAAATGACCAGTACACCATATCAAATGTGTTAAATTGCGTTGACAATTAACAGCTGCACCATTAAAGAGTTTCTTACATACGTGTTCAGTTTAAAAAATTGGGGTATGTGACAGCCAAGTTCTTAGGGTGCAAAATTTGTCTTAAATAAGCCGGCTCTTTTAGGGTAAATATTTCTCTATATCGGAAAGAGTGAAATTAGGGTCAAGACGTTTTAGAGTGAAAATCACTCTGAATTAAGACTGAAAAAAGGCTTAAAATAGTCTTTCCAAGGGAAGCTTGTGTGAAATTTCAATCTCTTGGAGTGAAGAAAATGAGGCTGTTTCTTGGAATCAACCTCAATATCAGATGCAAATAAAAAAAAGAAAAAATGGAAAATATCAAGAACCGATGTACCAAGAGAAAACCAAAGATTCATCTTTAATGTGTGGCCTTCCTACAAAGGAAAGATCCGCAAAGAAATAAAAGCTTTTCTCCTGTCTTCGGTTATCGATCCTTTGTTAAATTTTGATGAAACCCCAGTTTTTGGTCAATGTGTAAATCACCCAAGTCCAGGCCCACCTTTATAGTCTATAGCATAGTGTAATTGATCACTAACATACATCCAACGCACTAAATACAATGTGGTTTAAAGCGAGGAGAAGAAAATTGCCTTATCCGATTTTGTTTATACCAATTTTGCCGAAATCACTGTTGCCGTGAACACACACAAAAACTCTGCTTTTTAAAAGCAATTGGGAAATATAGTTTAACTGTGGGAAAAAGGGACTGAAATGTGCTGTGACCCAATAATTGGTACCAAATTAAGAACATTAAAGAGCAATAACATGCCATCAAATAAAACTTGGTTAGACTCCAGTATGACTTGTAAAGTTTTATACGAGTAAGCACAAAAACGGCGTAGCTTTCATATACGTGTACATGTAAATATGATAGAAATAGGTTGGTCTTAGATATCCAAAATTTAAGTGAAACAAAATTCTTTATTATATCATTTTGTAATGTAGTTTTTAGTGTTTTATTTGGTTTATAAGAGAAATATAATTTTCTTTTTAAATTCTGGAAAAGCAACTGCATCTCTACATTTTTTATAATCAGGTTCCAAAATCTTCTGTTTTTCTGTTAAAATGTTTTTAAACGTCTGTCGGAGAAGATTTAACTCCGCCCAAGTCAGGTGAAATTATGGAAGAAACTAGAAGAACAATTGCTGACTCCTCAATTTCTTTAAACTAAATTGATTGATGCACTTCTCCAATAATGATTTTAAATTTTTTAAATGTCTTTTCAAGGCAACAATGCGGATTTTCGGACAAAAATTAATCAGCATTTCAGGGTCCTTGTCGATTTTCATTAGACAAGTCAAGTACACGAAATGTTATTCTTTGTGAACAGCAATGCATTGCGTCATCGGTCAGGAGCCGGACCCGGCATCTCACGGCAGATACCGTTGGGTAATCCCAGTCCTGGACCCCTGCAGGTGCACGGAGGTCCAGATTGGAGGCATGAATACCCTAGCTCCCCATAGGCCGTTTGAGGTTGTCTACTTTGACACTTTTCTACAGAGCAGTAATCCAGTAGAGATTCGAAAATGGTTCAACTGTACAGGTACGTGTGTCGTGTCATATGGAAAACGTGAATCTTATAGCACCCGCTTATCAATTTCAAAGATATCAACACAAAAGAGACGCAAACATCAGCGATGAATCTTTTGCATTTCTTGCAATTGTATTGAAAAGGGGGTGGAGATCATACTCCCCGCTCTCTGCCATTTCCTTTCGGGGGGGGCACGTCTAGTGATTGGATGAACCTCTGAAAGTCATAACCAATGTAGGCCCAAGACCAAGGGATCTTATCTTGCGTGCACGTATAAGAGCAAAAAGGAGATATGTTACTTCACCAACGGCAAGAATCACATGGGGTAGCTCTATGTAAAAAAAATTCCTTGAAACCTTCAGGAACGAAAACCGGGCCCTGAGTGTGATATCTTTTGAAAATCACACCATTCTGCGCATTTCCTGTCTAATTACCTGTACATAAAATAATTTAGTAAACATGATGCTTCGATGTTAAAACCACTGTAGACAGTTGGCTACACCGTGTTCGTATTACTATAGGTTCAGCATTACTTACTGAGTACAACATTACTTACTGAGTACAGCATTACTTACTGAGTACAGTGTTACTGAGTGGAGCATTACTGAGTACAGCATTACTTACTGAGTACAGTGCTACTGAGTAGAGCATTACTGAGTACAGCATTACTTTTTAAGTACAGCATTACTTAATGTAATCAAGCCAGTGTACCACCTGACTTACATTGCCATCGTCGATTATGTAAAACCAATTGTGCAGCGCTTTTTTCTGTAATGAGATGAAGCTGAAGACGTTGGATATAGCCTCTTCAGAGATGTTCATTACCACAGTCTCCGTTGATTTGATAATGCCAAAGACAGACCTGTTTTCGCAGTTTTTAAAATGGTAGGCAACGACAAAGAAGGGAAGAACAAAGCATTGAACTAAAATTTAGAATGATTGACTCATTTGGTTGTCATGGGTATCACGACACGAATTATTTTGTAATATTTTTTTAATTTTATTTTTTATTTTTTTTAAATATTGTTCTTTACCTTGATGTGTAATAATTTATTCCTTCGCATGTGAAACACTGGTTAGGAAAATGTCGCCCAATGAAGATTCGATGACACCGCTATCTGCAATGAGACAAAAGCTGTATACGTCGTTTGAAATGTCAGCTTACTTCCAGCAATAACCACACACTCAGTTCATTCAGTCAGTACATGTACAAAATTGAAACTTTGTATTCAAGCCATTTCGCATCCGACATATAGCTTTATTCGACAGAAAAGCAACCTTGGATAAATAAGAAATGTCATTAATATATTAATTCACACCACAATGTACTTTCATTAAATAACTGTCATCGAATGTAATTATCAACTAATTGCCACTTCTGAGTTCTGTGAATACTATATTGTCACTTGTTAGAGGAGGTGCTAGGGAACCACTCTAACTTTTAATACATAATAGATCTCTAACAGACATATAAAACAAACAAAACGAATGAACAAATGAGAAATCAAAATTAAACAACATTAACTTAAGTTAGTAATATTACAGTACGGAATATCTGAAATGTACTGGACCTTAAAGGGAAATACACTGTTGAATTATTAAAGTTGAATTGGAATTTATTTTGTTTTGGGGTGACGAAATGGAAGTAATGTTTCAGGGGATATAAGTGATGTACATAATCGCGTCAAGTGGGAACACCTGTTGGTGTCTATTACTCAGTTCGTTGTACACCGTAATCATCCCGTGCCGTGCACGGCAAGGTTGTATTTCATCCCTGTTGTCCCATGGGACAAGGAGTTTGGTTCTTAGAGGAGGCCGCCGTTTTTAATACAACCAATCAATTTGAGTAATTTAGTCCTTTTGTTTACCCAAGTGCTAATCCCTAGGGAGCATTTTAGGTATCATTTATTTAATGCCATCAGTGAAATCCCCCCTCCGTATACACTCGAATTGTTGCCTCTGCACAGTGCTTCTGCAGTATCCTGAAAACTCTTCCAGATACGTGGGCTTTATTGCACTCTTAATTAAATCGAAGAAAAGTCAATTATCTGGAACTGATTCTGCCTGACATTAAATTCCGGAAAATGGCTCAAAACTTTTAATTAGTTACACAGCTACTCCACGTTCACTAAAGTTTTCCTTTGGACGAACTCCTCAGACCGTAAATGATTGAATAACGTCTCAATTCTTACCTCTAACGAGCAATTTAAGTAACTGCTCTCTTTGTCCTCGAATATGGCATCCATTGTACATGTACATGAATAGGGTTTTTCAGTTTCGACACGGGTGCGGTTGGTTTGTGCTTGTGCCCTTCACGGAGGGATGGGTGTACAGATGTGCGTTGGTGTCCTTGAGTGCAGATGAAACCAAAGGCAAGTTTCTATATCGTTGCAACTCGCAGAGCCAGTGCAGAAGAACTCGTGAATGGCGCACACATAGCGGAGGGAACTAATTTAGCTCCCTTGAGCAGACCCCCTCATCGGTTGAAAGGAACGGTATTGGTGGGGAATGTTCGTTTTGCAGGTAGCAATACCCATGAATTTAATAGTTGAATACACCCGGCTCCACCATTTTCTTCTAACAAAGTTAACAAATTTCCTTTAACTCCATCAAAAATATGCTTTTATTTTCTTTGGAGTTCAAAAAAGATTTTGTTTGAGTTGAGACCTTCTTTCATTTACAAGGTATTGAAAAGTTTGTGGACCAGTGAACTACATTTCTCACCAAAGCAGCTCCACTAAATACCTCCTAGGTGGTGATGATCTGAGCTCACGACGCATCGCTGTTAACAAATGAAGCTTTTGAAATAACCTGCCACTCAGTGCAGCGTGCCGATAACATATTAAAACAGTTCCCTGATTCACATAATCGCTTCACCTTGCGAGACATGAGCACACAACCAGGGCTAAAGTGACGTAAAGGGTTAGTTTTAATGATGTCCATGATTTGAATACTGTAGGGTGCTTCTTGGTTGTTTTTCTTGTTTATTTTCATTCCCGTTGATAATTATTATTTTAAACAGATTTTCAATCCGTCTTCTTCAAGGAAAAAAACGTTAGAAATTCCTTTTGCCCAGTTAGTATTAAAAAGAGGCATTTTCTCCCAATGTTTAGAAACATGCAGAATAATTAATATTTACTTTTTTCACGAGATTTTTTTTTCAAATTATAATTTAGGTTTTTACTGACGGCCAGTCATAGTTTTACTATCCACTGCTGTAGGGTTAGCAAAAACAGGTCACAACATTCCGCGTATACTACCCTGATTGATACCTGATACTGTACTAGTCTGATTGGTTCATGCAATAGACTCGACAGCATAATATGCCTTATTTCAAAACTGATATTGACCCATGCTTGCATGCGTTGACTGTAATAAAACAGTTCGGTATAAAAAAAACCCAAAGGGCCTTCGGGAACAAAGCACACGCGTGAGTCAGCGCGTGGCTCCGCCGATTGGATTAGACTGTTCCCGAATAGCCGGACTGGGCATGCGCTGTTGGAACACCGAAATGGCTCATTTTCTGTTCGTTACAGAGGCACAGTGAACACTGCGGTTTGGATCACTACGCAATGGGGTGAAGAGTAAAAGGCTGGTTCATACTTCACTTGAAAGCGAACATAAACACGAATTTGTGAGGGCAGATCAATCAGATATTCGCGCTGCGGAATTCGCAAAAGTTAAAACATGTTTCAAATCGAGCGAAATTTCCCTGCAGATCTTTTGTGACGTCAAATTCACATTTCACATTCGCCTGCAGTAGCCTATGAACCGACCTTTAAAGCCAATCTTCAATGTGGCAGTAGACACTTTGCATATTCTTCGATTGAATACTGCTCTGCATGGTTCAGTTGCAGTGTCATACAAACCCAGATTAGATTTAATTATTGAAAAAGACGTATCCATCATTACCTTTTTCAGAATCTCATAAAAATAACTTTGCACATTGCATGTTACTTCAATAAAACAATAATCCAAAACGTAGGCACGGGTGCCACCACTTTTCCTTGATGCTCTGCGAAAAATACTTTTTAACGATAACTTTCAAGTATGTTCTCAATCGCCGCCATGACCACTTTCATATAAGAAAACAATGGCGCAAAAGAGTTCCATTAAAAATTCTGCGAAACGTAAAAGGTTGTAGTTATCATCAAATGAACGATTTCACCTAAATGCAGAATACCAAAAATCTTGAAAACTTGCCATTTTAAATAGGACACATTGGTCGCGATAAAACTTCTGAAGACAGGCTTTCACCACAATTCTGGAAATTTTCAGCCCAGTGAAAGCTGTGTACTTTATAGAAAAGACTAAAATAAACAGCTACATTTAAAATGAGGATGGCAGCCATTTTATGTTGTTTGTAAAACCTAAAATTGTAAAGGTGCCACAAACTATAAAGAACGCTGTTTCCGCGTTCAGAATACAGAAGGGTTGAGACAAAGGCTTGCCAGACTCTTTGAGATACTGTTCATGCGAGATATTCCATACTGATGCAAATTATTTTTTTTTAGATCTGCCGGTCTCATGTCGTTCCTACATGGAGTTAGGTCGTTCGCACGGTGACGGATTCTACAAGATCAGTCCCCCGTGTGGAAGTCCTACCGAAGAGCCGCTTGAAGTATGTAAGTATGCGTCGGAGTTGTTCTCTAGCGCTGATCAGTAATGAACTTGTATGCAGATGTGACATGGTTTGAAAGTGGATGGCCCGCTAGATATCACACATTCGCCTTGGGAACTGGCAATAACAAAGGATGTTAACATTGGCCATTCATATCAAATAAAATCAACCGTGTTATATTTGTTTACCGTATACCTCATGCGTATATACTTGCAACTACATTTGAGGGTGATATGTATGGTTTCCGCCATCAATAGGTAGGAGTTCCACAATAACTCCATCAAGGGCAGCGTTGTTAACTGTTCCCCATGATTACTTACGCTCAAACCCCACTTCGCAACTATAAACGTGTCCCCATCTCCCTTAAAATCTCGAAGTGAACACACATTAAGATCCAATTTGTTTTGCTTCATTTTCTCTGAAAAATAAATGTACATCCCAGCTGCACCCGAAATGTCAGCAATGCGTCATTGCCTAAAGACGAAAGGCGCCTTTCCATACGCACGTTTCTTGGGTGAGTTGCGTACACGATGCGTTCATGCGTTTCACTTTCACAGACACAAAAAGCAACTCAATTTATATAACCCACGTGTGCGTTGCGTTTGGTCGTCACAATCGCTCCAGGAACGATTTTGACGGATAAGCAAAGCTTGATGGGAGTGCTGACCTGCATAAAGAAAGGTGCCTTTAAGCTGTCATGTTTTACAATGTAACCAAGCACGTTCACATTACTTATACAAAACGCTTGGCGCAGGTGTTGATGTGCATATGGAAAACCGCCCTTAATCCGATTTGACGCCATTACTGTGGTGGCCCCAAACTCACACGCGCATTCCTCAGCTTGACGAGAGCGTGCATGTTCTCGACACCCTATTGGTCCAACAGATACATGTAACGCGCGTACCATCTATTCACAAGCGTTTTGCCACTAAATTAGTCGCCAGTAATCCTGGTGGTCGAATTACATGCGTGCGTCAAGCTGAAGAATGTGCGAGTGCGGAGTCACCGTTGGTCGGATAATTTAATCCGATCAACTGGGACTCCGCACTCGCACATTCAATGCTGTGTGGTCTAAAGTCTGCATACTACTTTATCATGATGCTACGTCTTATTCCCGGTAAACCCACTGGCAATAGAAATACGACTTCACATATGGGTAAAAGGCAACAGACTGTATATTTCGTCCCAGTATGATTTGGTCACATTGATTTGAATGGAAGTAAAGCAAGATAACTGCTCAATGATTGAGGTGTATATGCGATATGGCCCATGCGTGATACCCTCGTTACTGAGATCCGACCACTCGATGCGACAAACCAAAATTTACAATATTGTTGAAACTTTCTACTTTGCTTCTTTTTACTCAGATTGTGACCAGACCTCCAACGGAGGCGGATGGATGAGGTAAGCATTCTTTATACATGTGTACTATAGGGTACACGGAGAAGTTAACGCGCAGTGATTTCGTACTCCTTTGTATTGAAATCTATATGGAAATAAACCGACAGTGATCGATGAAAACATACACCTTTGGGCATTTCTAGGTAATGATGAATTCCATGTGATACATATTATACTTTTAGGCTTAGCATTATTTTTGTACGTTTTTGTGACATTTTAGTAAGTTTGGAATATCGTCGACTTGATTTTTCTCAAAGCAGTGAACTCAAAATGTGAACCAATTCCAGGAATGATATCCAAAGTGATATCCAAACGCCAATGGAGTGTATATCACATAAAATAGTGGATTGATTTCTTCTTTAGGTTTTACTTCAAATCTGGCCCCCGCACCTGCTTCAAATACGACTTCAACTGGACCGGAGAAATGATCGGGTGTCTGGGGATATACAATCTCACCGGGTTTGCAGTTAGCGACAACGAGACGACAATTGACACAGAGATGTCGTGGGTCCTCACCAACGGTTCCTGGGACTACGACATGTTCCGTGAGTGTACTTTCATCGATTGCCATGACTGGAATCCTTTTCAGATACCCAACGGTGACGTCATGGCAAATTTGGCCAACTGCAAAGCCCCGACAGGGGTAGCATGGTCGACAGGTTATCAGGGTAAGTTGGTATCCAAAACGTGACCTCCTTTACGGCACAATGAGCAAGCACTTTGATATGTGGAGGAAAAAAGACCAAGAGATGATGAAAATTGCCAAGCACTTTGTTTTTCAAGATCCTGACCAAATCGTGTTGTACATAAACCAGTAAGTTCTCTCCGTGTGCATGCTATCGCCTGTTGACATCATACAAAACCCTTTCGATCGCCATCGATTGCCATGACTGGAATCCTTTTCAGATACCCAACGGTGACGTCATGGCAAATTTGGCCAACTGCAAAGCCCCGACAGGGGTAGCATGGTCGACAGGTTATCAGGGTAAGTTGGTATCCAAAACGTGACCTCCTTTACGGCACAATGAGCAAGCACTTTGTTATGTGGAGGAAAAAAGACCAAGAGATGATGAAAATTGCCAAGCACTTTGTTTTTCAAGATCCTGACCAAATCGTGTTGTACATAGACCAGTAAGTTCTCTCCGTGTGCATGCTACCGCCTGTTGACATCGTACAAAACCCTTTTGAAAGAGCTCGGGGTCTTTCCAGTTTTCATTGTGGGCAGATATTACTAGGAAAGGTAACAAGCCAATACGGCTGAAAAATTGGGAACGAAGGACCGACTGTTTCTGTAGTTCCCATCATTGTACTGTGGGCTCTAAAAGATGGATTTGGATTGGCTCTTGTGATGTGCGTGACTGGTCTACCCAATTAACCATGCATGTCATCATGGACGTGCATGATTACCATTTTCAAGCAGATTTTTTGATTTGTTTTCACCACACTTTTTTCTCCTAATTTCACTCGTTTTGTCCCTTTCTCCCTTTGCAATTAAATTTTATCTAAGATGTTGGCCGGGGTTATCCCCTACCCTCCTTGCGACGCCCATGCGTGTCAGAATTTTAAAATAAGAAATCTGATTAAGTTTCTCAAAACTGAAGCTACCTATGCAGGTCTTTCTTTATTGTGAGTGAATTAAGGGTAACATTTGCTGACTGCATTTATAACTAATAAATACGGGCGATTCATAAAAGTGTGCCTCTAAGAGTTTGCAACCTGCTGGCCAATCATTACGTGCGAAATTTGTCAACCCTTTGCAAACGCGCATTGGGTCGACAAATTTCGTGCATTTTGATTGGCCAAGGCGTTGCAAACTCTAAGAGGCGCACTTTTGTGAAACGCGGGTATTGCTCAAGCCTATTGTGTAGGCGTGACTTTAACATCATGGTCGTGTTGTTTCGATTTAAAGGCGGCTATGCAAAGATTGAAGGCACTCTCTCAACGAATGGGCAGTGGACCAGCATGTACGATGGGTGTTCCGCAAATCCAAACAAATTTGTCGGGGAGACGGTGTCTTTCCGTTTCGGTGGTGTAAGTGAACACACCGGCGAGTTCGTTCACACACATTGTAAACCATACAAGATTGACCAGAACAACAGCATCACGTCGCTCTGGTATGTCCCCTTTATGATAAATTTTCGTGTTAGACAGAAGTTTCCATCCGTACAGCACATACGTACGTACGTTGTGTGAGAAAAGATACATCACTCGGAGGAGATAGTGTTTGGCTATTTTGAACATGCTCTCAAAAGTTGCAGCTCACAGTTAGCCATAGAGTCACAGAAAGGATAAAAACATTAGAGTTTTTGTCTTGAAATGGTTAACACAACACCTTCTTGAAAGGGCGAAACTGTGCCCTTTAATGTTCAGTGCAGTCGTTCTTTTGACTCCAGTTGTGGGAACTTGATAAAACATTTCGTACGTCGGGACACCAAAAGCATTATTCTTCAAATTCAAAGTCAACCCAATATGGGCGATTCACAAAAGTACGCCTCCAAGAGTTAGCAACTCGTTGGCCACTCACAACGCAAGAAATCTGTCGACCCTTTACTAACGCGCATTTGGTCGACAGGTTTTGGGCGTTGTGATTGGCGCCGTAAACGTTTGTAGGCGCACTATTGTGAAATGCCCGTATTGTCTTCCTTTTTTACTCCAGGGACTCGGACAATGTTCGCGCCATATGGATCCGGCCCTAAAGCCCCAACCAAGTTCGTCCCAAGCGGCGACAGAGAAGAGGATATCCCCATGACAAAAAGCAATCAACAGCCATTGCTCTTGTCCGGGAGTTTTTCTTTTTACTTTCAAAGATAGATCATAGTAAACTCCTGTGATTCGGGAGTTGTGTGTGAACCTTTAAATTAAACAAAAGTAACACAAAGTACAACTACATCACAACTGACGATCTAAAGTGGTAATTTGGGGAGCTACGTAGCCTATATACTTAAAAGATGTAAATGTGTTCTTGCTTATCTCGTATATACGGATGGTCTGTGTAATGCAGTTTTTTTGGCACAACCTTTGAAAATGCACACACCTTGTCATTTAGAGTAATTATTGTTTGCCATTGCAGCTGGCATTTCCGAAGGTAGTAGTGCTTACTGCTTTGATTCTGATATAGTTTCCATATTTATAAGCAAGTTGTGTCATTATAGACAGAACAACGTTATATTGTATTGTTTTACTTAAAGGAAATGGTGGAGTGTGTGATCGTTTGATCTAAATTTCTTTTCAGTCGGAGATTGTAAGTTAGATAAGCACTTGGCAATGAGCCAAGGAGTAGCCCTTGGAACACTAAAGCTACAATCTGAAGAGTATCTTCTCTAAGAGACATCAAGAAAACAGCGACTCCTATACAAAGTATTAACAAAGCATGCAGAAGTGTACAACGTTACAGAAAAAGTGCAGCTTTGAAAAATTGGTTACCTTCAACTACTAGCTGATAAGAGAATATTATTATAGATTTTTGAACCTTTTTGTGTGCAGTCAAGTGGATTATTGTGTTTTTGTGCTGTAGAGAACACATAGATATGTTAATAACCTTCTACTATTGGTAGAAAGCCTAATTCACTGATATTACTTATATTCCATATCACATACATGTATATACAAATTAAATCTAATCACGAAATAATTCTTTCCCTGTCGCCTTGAAACATGCCATGTTATAGAATAGGATAAATATTATAGGATATAACAATACCATATTATAGCCAGTAGGAGATAATCCACGTTGTTCGCTGTCTGCTTTAAATTTAAGGTTCATAATTGCAGGTGATTTCGCTGTTATAGCTCATATATTAATTTTAGTAAACTGCTTTCGACATCAAACGAATTAAGGAAACAGGAGTCAATCCAAATTCGATTCCTTTCAAGGTGATTTGAGGATGGCGAGCATCTGCAATCAGGATTGATCGTTTACTTGTTAACGCGTAAGCTTACGACTACCGTGTGTCGTTGGGCATCGCTAGTGCTTCACATGAGAAGACTTTGTTTTAGCTCACATGCATTGGGTTTAACATTTGTGCGAATCTAAAAAGCAGAAACTTAGGAGAAAATGGAGATACATGTATTCCAAATCTGACATGGATTTAGGGTTACACAATGCCGCTACTTAACTTGAGTATAAGGCTAAGCGTGAAATTTGCACATACACAATTCACATACATAACGATCAATTAAATTTCGGGATTGCAAACTCATTGTGCACTACAGGAAAGTTGCACGATCATTTGTTCAAAATGATCATTTGGTAACTGGCTAAGTAATTCATTTGCTAATCTCCTTGCAAAGAAAGTCAACACAGTTTGTTCAATACTGGACATCATTCCAATAATTGGTATGGTCACCGGTGAAACTGCACAGAATGCCTCAAAGTTTTTCATGTTCTCGTGAACAAAGTAGTTATAACAATGGAAAATGAATCCCTTGCATAAGGGTCAAACGGTGCAGCCTTGACTTTTCCAACTGGTTCTTGTTTTCATGAGAGTTTCGTGGAACCAACCCTAACTAATCAAGTTGCTAAGGAGGTGCTGGGACATTGTACACTATTTGGAATTGTTAAATGACATATTGACACCAGAATTATTTGGTACATTTCACAGAGCAATAGGCCCTAACTCTCCAAAATTACAACAACGCTTTACTATAGGGTAGCCATCTTTCTTTAACTATTGAAAGTAATGTAACCAAACTGAGACTGAAAGAGAAAACTAGTCTGGTTCCTTGAATCAATATGTGAAGTTATATTACTTTTGTCATTTGGTGTACAAGGGCAAGAATAAAATGGCACCCTTATGATAAAGGGATGTACGGCATAAGCCTAACCCGTGGCGTGGCTAGGGCTAAATGCCTGGGCCCGGGGGCACCCGTGGTGCACACCTTTTTTTTTTTCAAGGGGACACCACTAGAAAATGAGATTTCAAATCGGGGAGGGGCACCTGGAGGGCACGAGCGTCCGCTGCCTCCCCCCCATGTACGCCACTCCTGTTTCCTGTTTAAAGAATCTTGGCTTTTGAGTTGATGAATATAAGTTGAATGTACAAAATGATAAGTCGTGCATGGCTTATTTTCTCCAGTCGTATGATATTTGTGTTATTAAGTGGTAATTAAAATAAGAAAGTGGTGACCGGAGATCACTAAGGCAAGAGGATGCGGCTTATTAAACAACGATTAGCAACAAATGGTGAAAAGTAAAAGTGGAATGACACGAAAAAGAAGGGAAACGGAATAGAAATCACCAATTTACTTGAAGACACCTCGGGATTCACCTGTCCCCACTGATGATGGTTTGCAATTATTGATGTCGATGTGTACTCTGATCCCCCCCACAGAAAGAGCCTTGCTCCGCCCCCTTGTACATAATAATATACTTTATAGCTGCATATAGGCAGACCCTGTACAGAAACCAGCGTCAAATGTTGACAGCGACCATAATGAATACCTACATTGGGACAATGCACGGGTATAAGTCTGCTGAGAGATATGCACAACTCTATGAAGCAGCATAGAAGTAATATGGGGAAAGGTAATACATCTCTGAAAATGTTGGATGATAAAATATGGAGAGTGATCGTAAACTCTTTGAAACGTAGCTATGTATTTAGTCCCATTTAGATGCGAGTTCCAGCTCACCGCTGGCCCTATTTGTTTCACGCGGATGTGAATCTCGATTGAGTGGATAGTGTTGCCTTGGTAATTTACTTATTCAAGATAAACCAGTCAAGCATGCAGCGTTCGCACGTGCCCTTGCGCGTGGTTGAAGCTGCCAGTAGGAAAATGTGCGATCACCGTGGCCAAGGCAGTCCAAATGTGGTGGTATTATTTACATTTAGAGCAATCCAGTCACGTGGGTGAAAAAGGTCTATACCGTTGAATTTATATGACTCTAGTCGTGTTACTTGTGTTCCCAAAAAGCGTCGGTTTATTACCGCAGCTCAAAGTGCACGATTATTTCTCCTCACGGATATACGGATCCTCGCCTACGTGCCACAAAGCAATTATGACGTATCAGGATGTTTTGAGCGGATATAATTCGAGTACGTGCATATCTGAGCAATACGCAGCATATCCCCTGTTAGAGTTCATTCACGTGCCGCCATTAACTGGAACTTCCAACGAGAAATCCTATGAGCCTAGCTGCGAGCCACACCGGCTGAATTTGACGCAGGTTATCCGCAGGGACTGAATCGATCATGGGAGTTGGCGCAAAACTTCAAATTTGCTGCTTGCTGTGGTTTGTGTGCGCGGGAGCAGGTAGGCTAGTCGCCTTTACATTTTCATCTGTGAACGTTTAGAGTCACAAAATGAAAAATTGATAAAGCATACCATGGCAAAACTTTCACACAACGATTGCACAAGCCACATTCTTTTTGGTACCTTTTTGTAAAATATGTGCCTCCACGCCCTTCTAGGAAATTTCACTCCGGTTTTGCTAACAAAAGCCTTGAAGTTAATCTCCTTTATCCAGGCATTGTCAATGTACGTTACTACACAGAGCATGAGCGCACGCTTGGCTTTTGATTGATATCCTCTGCTCATTTCTATTAAGATAACATGTTTATGTACAGACGAACACTACAATGTACAGACATCGTAATGCAAGTAGTAAATGTTATAAGAGACAGGTAAAAACCGTGGATAGTAATTGCATTGGCCTCCACAAAAGTAAAATTTTGAAGTGCAAGAATGAACGCCATTGAGTGAAAGTTTTAAACACACGGAAAGTGAAAACTGTCAAATTATAAACATAAGTGTACAAAGTATGACGATATATGAAATTTGCACGAGCAAAGCGGTTTGAACCATTTGTACCAAAGGTCACCACAATGTAAATTTAGCTGCAATTTTTAGGAGGGATATCTCTGTCGTATTGCATTTGTTGGCATTGACAAGCCGACTTAGGTTTAGTGAGAGCGATGCCGAATCTCAAATAAGATAAAATAAATTTACCTGATGTTTATGTGTAATGACCTGCAGATGTGAAACTCGGGTCGTACAATGTATAATTGTCTCTTTCCAGCAGAGCAATAATAAAAAAAGCGTCATCATAGAGCCATCCTACATGTACATTGAACTTTACACCCAGTTATTTTTCAACCCTTGCTCCTGTGCCAAATAGAACAAGAAGTCACAAATAACTGTGACCTGTGAAGGAATCTGCTTATCAACACCGTACATGGTGCATTAATACACACATCTCTGCATTTGCTGCATGGAAGCACGTTGGTTACATATTTTTTGAGTCCACGTGGAATATTATCCTAACAATACACTGCCCCATGCAAAAGGAATCTCCCAGGGGAAGGGACACGCACCGTTTATAAATTCTTGGTGATTTAAGTTTGAAAATAAAAATCAAAACGTCTCCCCGAATTCTGCCCCCAGAACTCTGCCATAAAACACTAAGTCATTTCGAAACCTGTCATGCGCAGAAAGACACTCATTAGCATATGAAGAGTTTCATTGCAAAATGCTATGTATCCCCTTTATTGAATTGAGATAATGCACGGTTACTGTCTGCTAAAATAAAGAAAACAATCAGGAAGTTTTTATGTGACAATGACAATGACAGTGACAATGTCTCATAAAACTTCCTGGTTATGTACATTTCACCATATCTCTGAGAGTAAACATCAGCAATCAACAGACAAGGTGCCAATAAGCAGATGATTTTTTTCAACATTATATTGGAGGATTGCCAACCCAGCTTATTCCCATTGGGTTAACAGAGTTTATCTGTCATTCGGACAGAGTGCTTTGTTTTGATCACCACAGCTCGGGTCGGGAAAGACGGTGCTGTCGTGAATGACCTTACTGTGAACGGCAATCAGGGTTGGGACGGAAACCTTCACGCACTGGACACTGACTGCGCTCCTCTGCCCAGTCCCAAAAGCGACGATGGGCAGCCGATGACTCTGCAACTACGCGATAGACCAGCAGCTCAATCCACGCAGCGAGACAAACAGTGTAAGTCATTTATTTGTACCCGTTAGGAAAGCAGGTGTTTATGTAGCCAGTCAGGCTAAAGACACGTGAAGTGAGGATAGAATCTTTTCCAACATCGTGCATCCTTTTGCAAGTTGAATTTGTGTTAAAATCTGGTACTTTGGGTCCACGTAAACATAATTTGAAGCCTCCATACTAAAGACTTTGTTGGTAGTTACATAAGAGATGCCTTTCACCAATACACATTGTTCAACGAGTAAGAAGGGCACAAAGGAACCATTCCAGGGATGGTGGTGGCTATGCAAAAGCTTGTCCCAAATCACGAGGTTTGGCAACGGTGTCTTTAGTTTCGGGAATTAAAATTGTTATGTTTATGTGCACTCAGATACCACAGTGTATCAGATTTTATTCAAATTTAACTCGCAGAAGGCTTATCGATATCATTTATGAGACCATCGATTTCATTGAAATCACAGATGAACTGAAGACCCTCCCTGGTTAAGGCTTCTAGAATTACTGTTTCCGTCCTGAAGCCTCCCTTCTGAGAGAAAAAAAAATACCTTGGTCTTCTGGTTACGGATATGTAGGGAAATGTTTGCTTGAAAACACAGTGTACCGAAGATCATCTCGAAACAACGTATGCTGAATGGTTTTTGAAATTGAATGGTAAGAACGAAATCTGTTATGTGAAACGCCCCTCACATAGTAAAAGGTTTGCTCTAGCAGTCTTGCTTAGACTATTCACTTCAGTAGGCAGTGTGCACTGTAACTTCAACCTGTAAACACACTTCACTTGGACATTTTTCCCATCTCACAGATCCTCCTGTAGTAACACTGGTCTACAACGCAGGACAAGTCATCTGCTCAGCGCAGGCCAATCCACTGGCTTTTTCATATCGGATCATCCTGAACGGCACCATAGTTCTGCGGACCTTCAACACCAGCGGGCAGCCCTTGAACTTTGAACCGGATTTCTGCACCACCGTCGGCTGTAATGTCACCAACACCGTTGGCACGGGAGCGCAGAGGCTTCCTTATCCAATTTGCCCAGGTAGGCTAAGTAGGTGTGCTAGCTTATGGCAGGTTGGCAAACTTTGTGTCAGGTTTAACTGCGTTACTTTGACATTTTCCTGTGACAACATGGCACTGTTTGGCATACCATGTCAGCTTTGTGGACCTGAAACATAAAGGTCCTAACAACACAGAGTGAATTGATAATCCAGGAATTTTTCCAGGGATTGGGTCAGGCCGGAGTTTGCTTTTAAATTGTCTCATTTTTGCAGAGAAGAGGAAACGATGATGATTTATGACATGACATACATTGTTTACAATGGCACTGTGCGCTTACTTTAGTCATTTTTAAAACTTATTTCCGAAATTTTTACCATTGGTGTTGTTCTCTCAGAGCACGGGGGGGGGGTGTGGCTGTACCCCAACCCGCGATTAACGCCTGATTGCATCGCTCTACACAATATTCTTCCTTTCTGATAAAAAAGGGTTAAGGGTTTATTTTTGGGTCAGGGGTCTCTGTCTCAGAATAAAGAAGAAAACTAAAGAAGATTAACATGAGTACTCCACTCTGGAGGAGAGGTTACAGTGAGAGAACAGGGGAGGATCCGGGATTTTCAGAAAAGGGGCGTCAACCAGGGTTTTTTTAAAGGGGCGGGGGTGATCTAAAGTAACAATAGTAAATGCCGAAGCACGCGTAGCACGAAGCATTTACGGCGTCTGGTAAGGGGACCGTTTAAAGGATTTCTAGGATTTGGTTGGATTCTAGGCCCTCTGTGGTGCCATTTCATGCAGCGGGGCCCCTCTTTTTCTTCTTCCTCCCTTTTTAGTCTTCAGTTATTTATCTTGTTTTTTTGAAGGATGCAGGGGGGACGTGCACCCTTATGCCCCCTAGAGCCGCACCTGGAGAGAAATGTGAATGCGAATACATATTCAAAGTTACGTTACTTGAGTGAAGGGATACCCATTCAGGTAAAGTCGTGTGAAACAAGTTCAAACCTACGTGAGTTTTGGAGAAAGTGTGAGTCTCTGCTCTGCCACAGAGGACAGAAAACAAAAGGAACAAATGAAATATTTCTCGCTTCTTGATGCCTTGTCTGTTGTCCTCGGTGAAAGGTGCATGTGCTTAGTCTATGGTCGTGTCATGTTGTAGGAACCAAAAAGGAAAACTGTCCTGGTTGGGTTCTTCCAGACCTCCGAATATGAATACTGTCGATTACAAGAATGGTCTTTCTTGTCAGGCTCAACGGGGCCGGACGCTGACGTTATTGTCATCGTGATTGGAACGATTCTAGTCTTTACTGGGGTTGTCTCTGTTTTGCTCGTCTTGCACTGTGCCAGAAGACGGACTCACAAAATTGAGCCCAGCCGAAACAATGACGAGTGAGTACCTACGTTAAAAAATTACATTGATAAATAATGTGTCTCCTATTCAAATGGTACAGTCCAATGTATGTGAACGCTCTGCTTATTAAAAATCTAATAAAGTAATTGGCAGCATGTATGGCTTGCAGAACAGACATGTTTGGTTCAGGTTAATGCTTTTTTATTCCATCTTGTTTATTTGGGACAATTTAGAGATATTCTTGGTCAACAAAGGCATTGAAATCGAGTATGGGCGGAGATTTCTTGTCACACGTGGGGGGTGGTTCCCAAAAGCTCAGTACAGCCTCCATCCCAGGTGAGGTCGTAACGTCAGCAAGGGCGGAGTTGCCGGCAAGGGTGTACATGAAGTCAGTGACTTGAAAACTGCGGGGGGGGGTGATTGTGATAAGTCACAGAGTGGGGCCATATCCGCCTACCCAAGAATCTCCCCTTGTGAAATCGAGGCTGCGCCACCTTCTTGTCTGATCGCTAGACCTAACTGAAATAGTGAGACGCGCATTTCACATTTACCGTTAGATTTCAAAGACAACCGTACACTGAAACATGCTGAGGAGTAACGTGTGTTTACTTGGGCATATCTCTGGATGGCGAAAAGCAAATCAGATGGCAAAAAAGCACAATCAAGCCGACAGTGCCTTCTGTAAAGCTGTATACTTTAAGAATAATGCACGCTGGTATTTGATTAGT